GCAGCAAAGGATGGTGGGGGGTGGTGGATTAAAGAGAATCTGATAATTCACATTGTGATTTTTTTTCCTCATGGTGGAAGAGAATTCACTCTTTTTTCATTTTAGAGAGAGATAGCAAGTGCATGTGAGTGGGGGAGAGGAGGAGTGGGGGGAGAGGGACAGAGAGCGGGGGGACAGAGGGAGAGAGTCTTAAGCAGTCTCCACACCCAGCACGGAGCCTGATGCAGGACTCCATCCAAGATCTTCGGATCATGACCTGAGCCTAAATCAAGAGTCAGATGCTCAACGGAGTGAGCCACTCAGGGGCCCTCATACTTCACACTTTTAAAACTTCAAGACTTTTCTTTTTGTTTTTTTTTAATTTTTTTTTAATGTTTATTTATTTCTGAGACAGAGAGAGACATAGCACGAGTTGGGGAGGGGCAGAGAGAGGGGGAGACACAGAATCAGAAGCAGGCTCCAGGCTCTGAGCTGTCAACACAGAGCCGGATGCAAACTCACAAGCTGTGAGATCATGACCTGAGCCGAAGTCGCCCAACCGACTGAGCCACCCAGGCGTCCCCAAGACTTTTCTTTTTAAAGAACCCAAAATAAACACATGATAACTTGCTGACACTTCCCCGCCCCTAAACAAATTGATTTCTCTTTGCACTGAAAACTGTAACAGTTGTAGCAGCAAAAGTTTTTACTAGCAATGAAAGTTTGGAAACTATATTTCAATCTTTTTCTTGAACTCAAAAAGTGCAAGATGTAGGGTTCTGCTAATGTTCATTAATGTTGTTCCTGTCCATAATCCTTCATTTTGTTGGCAAAGGCGGTTTCTGAATTAAGTCTATTTTGGTATACAGAAACATAACAAAATGAGGCAGGTATTGCAAAGAACGCACCTGCATGAATCACAACACCCAACTGGTCAGTTTGAAAAGGGTAAATGGCAGATTCAGGCAACGGAGGCCCTGAATAACGAAAAGCTCTATTTTCAGAGTCCCTGGTTGAATATTTATTAGATCAGGAATTGTCCATCCACATCTGGTTGTTCACAAAAGCGAAACCGACTGTTTGCTCAATTCTAGTGTGATATGTTTCACCATGGGAGTGAAAGCTTGAGCTTAAAAGATAACAGTCATCAGAACTATCCAGAACAAGAAAAGCACCATCTGGCACATTTACTAGATTCCCTTCTGCCTCCCAGCATGTGACCAGTTCCCAGGACCATCTTTAGTTCACAAGTTTTTTCAGCACCTCTGTCATTCTTGTCACAACCATAAGACCACTACTTTCCATTGACTCATAAACTCTTGCAACCCCAGGAGCAGAGTCAGGACCAACATTGAAATGATAGCACATACTGTTAGACACAAGGACATCTGTGCCAGTGAGTCCACTAAAGTTGCTTTGGATTTGATTATTCCACATTGGAGGTAGTAATGGTGAGCGTGGAGGGACATCGTCATGACTTACTCTTGGGCTCTGCAATGTGATGCCTATAGTGTCAGCATGCCATTCACAGACTGATCCACAAAGATCTCTGGGGCAATGACTGTAGGCCCTGGTCGACCTGACTTCCATTTTCAGAGAAAGAGTTCCCTCCCACTTGAGAAGGAACTGCAGAAACTTCCATGGGAGACGAACTGATCAGACAATAGCTGGATGATCCTTCCAAAGAACACATCCCTTCACCTACAGGCACAGAACACCGAATGCAGTACTGAGGTGTAGGTCCAGTAAGTACAGACACGTGTTCATTGAGGTGACGATGCAAATCTCCCTTCTGAGATTCTGAACTCTTTGGTGAATTCTTTTGTTCTTGGCACGCAGTTCCTTAGGTTGTGAAAATCTTTTCAAAGATCATTCCATGCTGGATGAACCAAAGCTTTGACTCTTGCCTCCTGCATTTTGAAACACCTCTCTTCAGAGTTTGTGGGTCAAGAGGGCACCGGTGAGACTGTAGTGATGGTTGCCATCAAGAGAAGCAGACTTTATTGGTCTTTGAATCTTTTTTTTTTTTTTTAATGTTTATTTTGAGAGAGAGTGTGTCTGAGTGAGAAAGGGAGAAGGATAGAGACAGAGGATCCAAAGCGGGCTCTGTGCTGACAGCAGAGAGCCGGGTGTAGGGCTTGAACCCACGAGCGGTGAGATCATGACCTGAGCCACCCTGGCGCCCCTGAGCGGGCGCACACCTTTAAAGAGTATCAGTGCTGAGGAGAGGAAAAGGTATCCTCAATTGGCAGAGCTCCTAGAGCGTGTGCTCCCCTAGCCTTCCTGCTTTTGTTCTGCAGAAAGGAGCCTTTTAAATGTACCCATTAAGGTTTCACTCTTTGATCTATTTTTTTCCCCAACTTTTTCATCTCGACCGTTGATAATCACAGCTGTTCACATCTCCATCTTAGCGGCTACCAAATAAGGCATCGTGTTTTCCAAACTCCCTGGCTACTGATGGTTCTTGTACTACCGTGAAGTCCGTTTTCTCGTGGACTTTTATTCAGGTTCAAATATTTCTGGAAGGGTTTAAGACGGATTTTCTTCGTGGTGGCTAGTTTGCGGACCCCGAGGGATCAATCTCTCTCTCTGGAATGTTATCCCCGAACATCTGGAGAGCCCGCGGGTCGACATCCGTGTGTTTCTGCAGCTTCGTTGAACCTCTGGAGCCATTTTTCCGGCGGCAGCGGCGCGGCGGGAGGCGGCGGCCGCGGACAGAGCCTGACTCCCGCTCCCTCGCCCGGAGCTGGCGCGAGCGCAGGGAAACGGGTGCTCTTTGGAGCCGCTACATTTGTGGTCGTTTGCTACACGGTAACAAAAACCTAATGCGCCACTCGCGATGTTAGTGGGAAAACAAAGTTTTGCATTGGGGTGGAAGAAGCTGCTGGTTTATTTCAGATGATTCTGAATTTAGAATTGCGGCACATAAAAGGGAGAAAAAAATCCACAGAAATCTGTGTGAAAGAGAATACACAAAAGCACCCTCTTCACTGCCCACGTCCGGCCTTCTTGGTCACCCTCCTCCAGCCTGAAGTGTCTATTCCCTCCCCCAGATATTTATAGACCCGAATGTAATTTATCACCTAAATAATACTCTTCTGTTTTATGCTCTAGTGGCTTTTTAGTGTCTACCTAACTGGGCTTCAAGTTCCTTAGGGGCAAGATCTGGTCTTGTTGATTTTTTGTGTTCCCCGCGGTGCCTGGCACAGAGACTCTAGTAAATTTACTGGACTGGCCAAAGACGGCATGTTTATCTATTGAGTAAATCCTTCAAACTAAACCTTCCAGGTGCTATGCCTGGAAGGTACCTGGAGGGGGTTCTTGAGAGTTCAGCTGGGTTTTTTCCCTATGGAACCACTGTGAGCCCCACCATCCAGCTTTCCACAGCAAGGAAATGTATCATAACATTCTCTGACTCTTCTCTCAGGGTAAGGAAACTCAGATCACAAGTATGGATAGGTCAAATAACCTACCTGACAGGGAACAGGACCTGGCATTGAACGACAAAAAGAATTTTACTTAATCAGCTAGCACCCACTGATCAGTAAGGCCTAAACATCTGCCAGTGGCATCTGAGAAGTCTGTTCTAAAAGTTGAAAAGCTGAGTTTATTTACCACAGGTGGGGCACTCGTAATGAGAGGGGGAGAAAAGGCTTTCCAGGTTAAATCAATTTGAGAGAAGAAAGTGGTACCCAATTTTCAGCAAGAGTTTGTGGAGTGAACTTTGTCTTTTTCATTGCATGCGACTCTTAATTATTGGATGTGATGGAAGAAATTCTCATATGAATTTTCTCTGTGCTCATATGCATAATTAACAGTTTGTGAGCTGTCTTGAAGAAACTGAAGCAGAACTGGAGGGCTTAGTTTTTTTTTTTTATTTTAATGTAGTCAAATGACTAGGTAGTAGAAAGGTTTAAAAGAAATTTACTGACCTGTTTTCTTAGATCAAGGGTAACTTTGAAATAAAAGGCTCTGAGAGATCCACCTTGTTGCCTCCACGAGCTTATAATAATTTCTTGCTGATATGGCAAGGTACCTTAAATCCTTTGTGCAAGGAGATACAGATTAATACCTATGTTACAAAATATCTGAACAATGGACTTGAAACTACGGGGGGATCATAAGAGGTGATTTGTCCAAGAAAGTGGAGGCAGTTCAGACTCAATGTAGATGTGTGGTTTTAGGTAGATGGCAAGTGAATTCATCTGTCATTGTCGAGCTGCCTTGAGCTAAATGGAATCATCGATTGTTAGGATTTGCAAAGCTGTACGATGGAAATGAAGTCACAAGTCCGAAGGGAGTGAAGGATTTTGACGAATATGAATCATCTTTAACATTTTTATGGTTGCCTTTGGAATGCCAAGGCATTTGAAGCATTTGCCTCAATACCGTGGGCAGAACTACGCTGAACACCAAAACGATTTTGAAATTTCCGGCTATATGGCTAACATCTGAGATGTTTGGGTTCATTTGGCCCTGTGAAAGTTATCAGTGTTTTTCATCGAAGTGCTTAAATCAGTGGCTGGAGTCAGAATTAAGACTTGTTCAAATCATAACCTTCTTCGCCATCGTTTCAAACAACAGTTCAGTCTGTGAAATATAAACATTTAAATTCACTTGCTCAGGTTAATCCATCAACCTTGATAACTATCGATTTTTACACGAATAAAGTTGACGAGATTTTTTTAGACGCCTCTGGCATTTACCTTAAAATCTGCTCTCTTCGGTAGGTAATAGACTGTATAACTCCGGCAAAAATATTTTCGTTTTATAGACGGGTTTCTTTTTAAGCCTCCGCTTCGCTATTGAAAAACTTGGCCGCTCCTGCCCCAGACGGTGCCCTAACCACGGGTAAGGTTGACAGGGTTGCTCGCATGCGCTCTCGCCACAATCGTGTTTGTCGCAATGGGCCCGGGCGGAAGGTTACACAAGAGCTAGCGACATTGATTATAGTCATTTTGTCGGTTGCGCTGGTTACCGCGCTACCTCCGCGCTGGTACTTGATTGTAACAGAAAGTAGTTCCGGCCCGTGTTGTTTCAGCCGAGGAGCCGTCGCCGCCATTTCAAGACCGTGAGAGGTAGATGGCCAACCAGAGTTCTAAGGTTCGAACCCTGTAACTGCTGCCGCCGCTTACGCCTGCCAAAATACTGGTGTGTCTGCTGCCCTCTTACTTACTACCTCCAGAAACATTCTTGCCAGTAGTGGCGGCAGTAGGTCAACTACCCCCTTCTCGTTCTCCTTCAAGAAGCTCCAGATGGCGTCTTCCGTGGGCAACGTGGCCGACAGCACAGGTACCGGTGTCCGTTCTACCTTGGCAGAAGTCCCTTTGGGGTCTCGCGCCGTCGTCTACCTCTCGTCACTCCCTTCCTTTCCCCTAGCCATCCCCATCACATCGGCGGCATTGCTGAGCTTTTCGTCGTCTACCGGCATCTGTTCGGGTTTTCCGCTGTTCGCTCCTCAAACATTTCCTCTTTCTTGTTCGCTTTTTGCTTCCATTTTTTGCTTTTTTAATCCCATCAATTTTCTAGCTTCCTACTCTCTCGGGACGCTTCTACCACACGTGCGCGCTTAGAATGTCTCGGAATGGACAGCGTTGGAATCCCTGCCCTTTCCCTCTCCTTCGCAGCCCGTTTCCCCCCCGGTTCGGCCTACCGCCCCCCCTCCAGAACCGCCCCCCACCCCAGCCCTTTCCCCCTAGCCGGATTTGGTTCTTTTCTGTCAGTCTAGGGCGGGGGTGCCATTCCGATGTAGTCATAGCCTCACTTTGCATCACCCGAGGACGAGCAAAAGCTCCTTGGGTGTGCTGTAAGTAACCTCGGAAGAGGGGATACTGAGCGGCGCCCCGCTGGGCAGCGCCTTTTTGGTGTTCCTTCGGTCGAGCGGCCCCGGCCTCGATTGGAAATTTCCAGGGGTTCCTTTGGCCACCGCCCGATTCCACCCGCTGCCCCCAGCCTGGATCTCCCACCCCGTCTTCCCTCCCCTCCCGCGGGGAACCACACCCTTTCCTTTGCGAGGTTGCCAGCCCTGCGGGCCACTTCCTATCCTTGGGGATAAACCGGCCTGGCGCTGGTGCTTTGGCGTTGACTACCCTGCCCGCCGAATTCCTGCTTTGTGTTACTTTCTCCCTGTATTCTTCCGCCGCCTCCTCTGGGTCTTCCATCCCCATTCTTTAGCTTGGTATCTCTTTATTCATAGGGTATGTTATTTTTTTTTAAGTTTTCATCCCTGCTTGAAGAGTTTGTAAAGCAACTGGAGTGTAGCTGCACAAGTGCAAGGCGGTTGCCCTTTTAGACCATTCAGTCGAGAGCATTCGGTACTAAAAATAAGAGAACCAAATTATAGGAGTGTCCTTCAGCTGCCTTTCCTTATTGAGGCTATTTGGGGTGGAAGGGGGGGAACTGGGCTGTGGTTCTAAGGTTTCCCACGAAGTTATTTTGTTTTTTTCTCAGTTGAGATATGTCAAGGGTTTTATTATTTTTGGACATTCTGCAGCAAGTAGTAGGCGAATCTTCAGTTGTATCTTATTCACGAGATTGTAGGTAGTGGGGTTAATAATTAGTGGGTGTTCCCCTTCCAGGGATTCTGAAAGATTTAAGATTCTGTAGTAGCTTGGCCTTTTCTGTGTGTGTTATTTTATTTGAGGAAGTTGTCATTTCAAGTGTTAATATTAGCAGATAAGGGGCTTTGAAAAGTTGATAAAGTGATGTGTTAAGGAGCTAGGAAGGTCTAAAGTGTAATTGATTCTCTAGCTTCTGTTTGGGGTAGAACCTCACCCAGGTTTGGATGCAAGTCGCTGCTGTGGTGTAGTGGTCAGCTTTACATTCTATCAGGAAATTTACTTTGCTTTCCTGAGTATACAGATAACTTGCCAGCTCTGATGGTTGGGGAGCTAGGCTAAAGTTTGAGCTTGTCCCTATGACCTTGGTAGAATTTAAGTAATTTGTACATCATTTCCCATTCCAACCTCCTAATGAAAGTGCTATGGTTAACTTCCTAGTAATGTGTCATTGTTTAAGTGTTTACAATCGAGACTTAGGCAGTTTCTTGTTTTTCTCCCCTCTCTGGGCTTTAGCTGCACCCTTAGTCTTTATGTATCTGATTTAAGTCAGATGCAGCAAAATGCTTTTCATTTGTTATTCATTCTGTCACATTTTATCCAGTGGTTATATACTTTAGCATTTCCCCATTCTTTTAAAAAACTGTTGCAATTGTAGGCGACTGCTTGGTTTATGTAGGGTTGTTTGCAATGTCTTGATCCTTTAGTCGGTGTCAGAGCTCTTTGGAAAATGCTAGTCTTAAACCAGTGTGGGTGGGATTTAGCTAATTTGGTTTCCATTGTGAATTTGGGGTAATAGAGGAGCGATATAATCGTGGGTCTTTATTTAAAATGTCTGATGACCCTTTTAAATATTTGGGCTCTTGAGAGACTAATTCATCTTGTTTATCAGCTGTTTTAAAAATAGCACCTTTACTTTCAGGGTTTTCCCCCCTCTTCTGGTTTCTAGTGTATCCCTTAATTGAATCAAGCAGTTAAGTTGTGAAATCTGCAAAAACATCAATGTAATTTTAAGAGTTAAAAACACATCTGGTGTTGCTACTCAGGTTAAGAGAGTTACCAGTACTCCACCCCCCACGTCCCGCAAATCCAACCTAAAGCATGGGACAGAGTATTCTGTTTCCAGTAGGTTATTCTGACATCATTAAATCTTTGTGACTTTGCAAATCACGTTTTGTGTGTTGTTTCTGTATGTTAACTAAGGTGTAAGGAATAATGTGTAGTGAATCTTTAGATGCTACCTCTGATTTATAATTTAAAAGTACAAAGTATATTTGTTCATAAAATGTAATCTTATTTGGAAGTAAATGTTTCTGTCTAGTCTGGGAAAGAAAAGTTAATGCTGAATTCTAAAAATACCACTTCTGCACCTGATGTTAACTTGGGGGTATAAATAAAGTGCAGAACACTCTAGTGCTTTACATAGTTTCAAGCGTTTTCATCTTTGAGTTTAATATACCATATTTTTACATTTTTTTGTTTGCATTTCTAACTTTTTGTTTTCCCCCCTCCTTCCCTCAAATGTTTTGATGATTCTCCAGAACCAACGAAACGTATGCTTTCCTTCCAAGGGTTAGCTGAGTTGGCACATCGAGAATATCAGGCAGGAGATTTTGAGGCAGCTGAGAGACACTGCATGCAGCTCTGGAGACAAGAGCCAGACAATACTGGTGTGCTTTTATTACTTTCATCTATACACTTCCAGTGTCGAAGGCTGGACAGGTAGGAGGGGGGGGGGGGGGTACCTGCTGGTGATTGCTGCCTCTGGGTGTTGAGCCTAAAAAATGATACTTAAATATTTGAACTGGAAATTTTTCCAGTACTGGGTTTCAACTGAGCCACCAACGCACATCTGCTCTTTTGCCCACTTGTGACATGCCCAGCTGCCAGTTTTTCTCCCTTTTGTGGTGCTGGTTATATTGTCAGTATGGCTAGGGACCTTTTCTGGCTTTTTTCCCCCCACCTACATCTGCTTTCTTTGTTCAGAAAATAAATTATTCTTAGTGTGCATCTGAGCATCCAGTCTCACCTTTGTAAGATGTGTCAGCTTGAGGAATGGAAATGCTCAGAAATGAGGGTGTATATTGCTGTGTTAGGAGATGCATATGTGGTTGAAGTTGCAAATGCACAAGTCATTATGATATGCTACTTTTAGCTAATCAGCTGAATTAATCAAAAGGGAGGAATCTGTGTTCTTATCCTTTTAATAGATTGCCATTCTGGCTTATTTAGACATTTAAAGATGTGTGTCATTATATGTTAAGAAATGGAAGATGAGATGAAAGTCCTGCACATAGCATTTTCATTCTTAGTGTTCATGGCTTCCTATGTGGCAGTTCGGTAATAAGACTTTAGTAAGAATTTTATCTCCTAAGAAAAAAGGATTCTGATTTGAAATTTAGAACTTTGATTTCCAAAAGTTTTCTTACTATACACTAGTTAAAAGACCATGTATTGTTACATAACTAGCAATAATAGCACAGGATCTTCAGAAACTGAGTTGCTTATGGGCCGTACCCTCTTGTGTAACATGCATACCCATGTGCCAACACTTTTCGCTTTTTCCAGATCTGCTCACTTTAGCACTCTGGCGATTAAACAGAACCCCCTTCTGGCAGAAGCCTATTCGAATTTGGGGAACGTGTACAAGGAAAGAGGGCAGTTGCAGGAAGCGATTGAGCATTACCGGCATGCATTGCGTCTCAAACCAGATTTCATCGATGGTTATATTAACCTGGCAGCTGCATTGGTAGCAGCAGGTGACATGGAAGGGGCAGTGCAAGCTTATGTCTCTGCTCTTCAGTACAATCCTGTGAGTAAAATTTTAATGGTTATTATTTTCCCTTTACAGAAGCCCAGAAAGAAACATAGCCTGCTACTTCAGACATTAAGTAGGCCTTTTCTTTTGCATGGAATAAAGAGTTTAGAAATGTTAGTTTACTTAAAATGGTGAAATTGCTTTGACCCGGTCTGCATTATGTTTTAAAAAATTCATTTTATCTAGCAAGTTACATTGAAATGTAAAAATTATCCTTCTTGAAAGGAACTCTACATCTATTTTTATGCCTGTAAAAGTACAGAACATTTGACATTGTTTCTTTGGGTTGTTTTGAATAAATTTGGATACATTCTGATAGGTATTTGTAACAGTTAATTGATTTTCAAGGAGTAGTGGATAAAGGGCCTTAATCTTTAATATAAAATAGTTAAAATGCCACTGTGTGGATCAGTGACATGGAAATTAGGTTGCAAAATTTCTTAGTGTCTTAATTCTTTTTCTTCTTTCAACATAATTAAAAGTGGTAGAATGGAGGTGGTAGTATCCAAAGCAGGTCTTTGATTAGTTCTTAAATTGTTGTGTCTAAACTGCAGATGTTTTCTGGCGAACAGGTGAGGCCCAACTGGCAGATGTTACGTTCACACTGTATTAGGGTCTCTGAAAGAGTCATAAAAAAAAAAGTAAGACTTAACCCTCAGAACTTTTAATGTAGTTGGGGAAAGAAGATAGATGCAAACTTAAGAGGTAATGATAGAGGGAGTGTAGGAATCCAGAAAAAATCAAGAATGTGTAACCAAGCTAAGTAGTCAACGTTTAGTATTGCAGCAACTCTGTAAGTACTTACTAAGTAATTATGTTACGTACCATTTGTTGAAGGGCTGCTATGTCCTCAGACACTGTGCCAGTTGTTTCAGATGTTGATCTTAATGTTTACAATGGTCCTTTGAGGTAGATGGTATTATTGCAAATTTTATGAATTAAAAAAAAATACGGGTAATGTAACTTTCTTGGGGTCACACAGCTAGTAATGGTGAAGTAAGGTATTAAAACCTGAGCCTAAATGTCATTCTTTTTCTCCTGGTAACATTTTTTAAAAAAATTCAAGTATTAACATACAGTTATCAGTTTCAGCTGTAAAGTGTAATGATTCAACAATTCTATACTCAGTGTTCATCACAATAAGTACTTTTTTGTAATGCTTATTTTGGAGAGGGAGAGAGACAGAGACAGAGAGCGAGCAGGGGAGAGGCAGAGAGAGAGAGAAGGAGATACAGAATCCAAAGTAGGCTCCAGGCTCTGAGCTGTCAGCACAGAGTCCAATGCAGGGCTTGAACTCTGGAACTGTGAGATCATGACCTAAGTTGAAGTCGGATGCTTAACCGATTGAGCCACCCAGGCGGCGCCGCTAAGTTTTTTTTTGTTTTTTAATGTTTGAGAGAGAGGGCATGCATGTGGAAGCTGGGGAAGGGGCGGAGAGAGAGAGAGAGAGAGAGTCCCAAGCAGTCCTCCCACTAACAGTAGTCCCAAGAACCATGAGATCATGGGAGACCTGAGCTGAAATCAAGAGTTGGTCACCCAACTGACTGAGCCACCCAGGTGCCCCACAATAAGTATACGCTTACTCCCTTTCACCTATTCCTCCTCCTCTCTGGCAACCATCACTTTGTTCTCTATATTTCAGAGTCTGTTTTTTTGTCTCTTTTTTGTTTGTTTCTTTTAATTGAGCTTGAATATCTTGAAAGGAAACACAGAAGAGAGAAGAAATAAAAGATTAAAAAGGGAATGATGTGCCCAACGGGCACACAGCCCTTAAATACCATTTGAAAACCATCGATCATGTCCTGCTGTCTCTTTATCCCTATTTTATAGGTTAGGAAACTGCAGCTTAATTTCATAGCTTGTGCAAAGATCTGAAATCGCTTTTTATCAAGACATCTTTTAATGATTATTTTTCCAGTTAATTTTGAATTTAACATTAGTTATGTATGTATGTTAATTGCTTTTTGTATGGATACAGGGAAGTCTTCCAGCTACCCTTGGAGGTAGCCAATGAAATTAATTTCTTAAGTATCTTTTCAGAGATACTCAGTGCACACATATGTAAATCTGAGTGGCTGTTTATAATTTTTTCTTTAAAAAGTACAAAGTACTTTTTATAAATTGCAGTACTCTTTAGCTAGTTACAAAAAATTATGGGGAAACCCCCATAATTGGCTCCTGTTCTTGCCAGGGCTCAGAGTTCACTTGTGCACCTAGATGTCACAGTAAGTTCTTTCCCTTTATTTTTTAAAAAAATTTTTAACGTTTTTTTATTTATTTTTGAGACAGAGAGAGACAGAGCATGAACGGGGGAGGGAAAGAGAGAGAGGGAGACACAGAATCGGAAGCAGGCTCCAGGCTCTGAGCCATCAGCCCAGAGCCCGACGCGGGGCTCGAACCTGCGGACCGCGAGATCGTGACCTGAGCCGAAGCCGGACGCTCAACCGACTGAGCCACCCAGGCGCCCCTCTTTCCCTTTATTAATCAGGGTTGGTTCTACCCTTCTTTTGTTGATTGAGTATAAACTCACTTGTACCCTCTTACTTACATAGCTGTGGCCCCAAACACAAAATAAAGGCTCTGATTCCCCTTGGCTCAGGTTTCAAATTGTTTACATATGTAGCAGAGCAGTCTATTGCTGCTGACTATATACCAAATTGTAGGAGTATGATGAGAAGGGAAAACTACAGTGAGAGAACCATGTTTTTTAGTATCTAACCTGTCCACATAAAGCTGGTTGTTGTGCCCTGCCAAAGAAAGAAAAAAGTCCTAGAATATAGAATACATCATGGGACTACTGCTTGAAGGCTTTGAACAGCTATTCATTCCCATCTGGTTCTGTGTTTCTACTTGTGGAAGGTGCTGCTTTATTTTTATTCCTTTACCAGTAAGAATGGAAAGAGGATTGTGCAAACTGCTTCTTTTCACCTAAATAGACTATAGCAGTCATGCTTTACCTTATTTCAGGATATCTAATCTTAGCTAGATTTCAGCTTACTCTTAAATGCCTTTGTCAATTCAGTACTGACAGAGAATCTTGAGTCCGTTCCTAAGTTGTGTCCTTGTTGGCAGTGCATTGTTGTCCTGAATCATAGATGTAGTTGGCATTCTATGAAAAATAGTTAAAATCAGGTTATTTTGGTTTTGCAGTAGTGAAAAGGTAAAATGTTACGATGGTATTCTTGGGAACCTGTTTTTGGCAGTGTTATCTTTTTCAGTTAGTGATAGAAGTTATTCTGTGACTTGATTATAGAAATGTTAAGATCTAGAGCTGTTTCATATTTTGACATTTTGAATTGTCTTCTGTGATGTCGGTTTAATAAGTTAACTGAAATTTTAGTCCGTAGTATTTGAAGGTCCTCTGCAGCTGGTAATCTTCTACATGATGGCTCACCAGAGTTCCAGCAGTCCCTTTTATGAATTACGTATAAAATTGTCCTTTGTAAAATGGCTATAACCTTGAGTTGCTCTAAGGAGTGTTGTTTCTGGGTTTGTTAGTTGTTGAAATGTTGCTTTGGCTTTGATTGTGGATGCAGAACACTGAGCGCTCCTGGCATCCTGACCATCACATGTTACTGTCACGTTGTTACTGTTACGAGCTTCACTTAACGCAGATGAACTGTATAAAACCATATCTTTCTATCTCTCTGCTTTTTATTGTGTTTGCTGTGCAAATGTCACATTTAAATATTTGAGTGCTTATTGTGTGTGCAGTGCTTTATTAGGAATTGGGGGTGATACGTGCTGGGGAGAAAAAGTTGAGGATTATAACATGAGCTAGAACCTGACCCATAAAGGGAAAAAGGGCGTAAGTTCCTTGGATGATTACTGTTAGAGAGTATTAATCAGAAGATTTTCTTGAGTGGGTGCTTATAACCTAAGCATTCTGTAGGAAGGTAAATAGCAAGAAGACTTCCTTGGCTGAAGTGGTGAGTCAAGTAGTAACAAGAAGTGAGTGTAGTAGAGGAGAGTCAATTTGAAGATTTAGAAAGAATAGAGAGGCTGAGGAGTTTAAATTTAATTTGAGAGGCGATTGAGAACTACTGTACTGTAGGTTTTTATCAACCTGATTTTACTTCGTGTGTATGTGTATATATAGATGTTGTGGGTAGGGGTGGGGGCTGTAGGAGGAAAGGCAGGAAATACTATTTTAGGAGGGCCGGTTATACAGGAAATTCTTACTCATTTTAAAGTAGTTTTAGGTTTTGAACTTTTGGGGGAATAATGGTACCCTTGAATTTCCTAGAAATCTATTGTGTGTAAAGGTTTGGATTTCCAAATGGGAGAATTGGATTTCAGTATTATACTGTATTTAATATGAAATATTTTAACCTTTTTCTAAAATTGCCTTGTTGATTATCTTATTATCTTGAAGATAGTCTATTTTTAACTGTGGGCATTGTGTTAACTTGATTTATTTAGTATGCTGTAGTGGATCAAGATGATATCACTAAATATAAGTAGATACTGTCAGGACTTGGATGGCATCCATCCAAAAGTTTATAGAAACTAGAGGGTAGGGGTGCCTGGGTGGCTCAGTTGGTTAAGTGTCTATCTTAGGCTCAGGTCCTGATCTCATTGTTCGAGAGTTCGAGCCCCGCATTAGGCTGAGCACTGACAGCACAGAGCCTGCTTCGAATCCTCTGTTTCCCTCTCTCTCTCTCTGCCTTTCCCCTGCTTGCTCCCTTTCTCAAAAATAAACATTAAAAAAAACCCTAGAGGGTAAAAGTTGCCCAATATCGTTGGCTAAAATGAATTGCTCGTTCCGGTCACTGTTGGAGATTTATTGCAAGATTTTTGATTCTTATGGCAGAAAAGTTATAGGAATTGGTAGATGTCCAAAGATCTAGAACTACAATAATCAGGTGTAGCAGTAGCTAGTTTGAACAGATTGGATTGTTCAGTTATGGTTGGCCAAAACAGAAGGGTAGCCTTAAAGTTTAGGGAAAAAATTATACAAGTAGATAACAACGTTATAGAATTCATTACTTCTGAGAGTATAAATAGGGTTAAAAATGCTTAGACTCATTAGAGGAGGATAAATTTGTAAGAAGATTGATGATACCTATGATTTTTCTTTTTTGAAGATTAGTATTAGCCTTTTGTACTTGAGGTCGTGGGAGACTGTCACTCTCTCCCAAAACGCCAGTCATTGTTTGATGGACTGGACACATCAGGTAGATCATGGAACTGATCCAGTATGGTCAACCATAAAGGTGTTCCCTGGCAGCCTGTTCTTTGCTGGCTGACTTGGTTCACTTGATGGATGATAACATATATTCACAAAGGCTGTTTATCAGTAAAATTGATCACCGGATTCTGGAAACCATATACAGTTGTTCATAGAGTAATATATGTGATGATACTTTGGCACAATCGGCAAAAATTCACTTACTGGGACTTAATTTAAGGCTCTTTTACCCATGCAACAGTTTGGAATGATAAGCTTACTCCCTATTGCCATTGTCTGTGCTTGTTGACTGATAGATTTGAATAACAAAGGCAAACAAGGACAAAAATTTAAGCTCACTGTTCTGATGAGTCTTTTTACTGATGAAGGGACTGGTGAGTCAGATGACTAGCAACACAGTTGCGCTGCTAATAAAAAGCAGAGTCAACTGCTTTTCATTATTCACCCACTCAACTCTAATGGCACTTAATACTAATGAGTAATCTAGTGGCAGGTGCCAGGATTGAAGCTTTGGTTGGATGGTAATCCTTCTGTCTAATACTGAAATGAAGTCAAGGCTTCTAAATATGCCTGACAGCCTAAGGGTAGGTTTGCTGATAGCCAGTCACAGCTAAATACTTTTTTTCACCATGGAAAATTTTTGGCCCTTGATACTGGAGTGATTCATCGTAACCTTTGAACAAAATAGTTGAACAAATATTTAATGCTTTTTTTTCCTTTCTTTTTAAGGTGATGATATTTAGGGAGAGGAGAAGCTATAGTAAGGCCCATGGTCTTTTATCTTAAACTGGTGGGATCAAATGTATTTCCAAATCAGGATTTTTAGGATTTTAGAAAGATGGTGATATCTGTATAAAACTCCCAGGTAGGTCTGCAGCAGCACCTTCTAGTAAGACACATTTATATTTCTGCAGCAAAAGGTGTGAATAGTTGCACTAAGTGGGATCGGTAAATTTTATACATAGCTTCGCGCCAGTTCTGGTTAGGTTTAATCATCAAATAAGTTTTTTGGGAACTTTTTGGAATTTGGAATTGAGAATGAGGGATTGTGGTTCTCTACTTTGATTTGTCAGGCAGAGTCTTTAGTTTACAGAAGAAAATGGCAGGGAGTTAGATGCATAAAAGTAATTTCAAGGTATTTTTGATCGACAGTATAATTAATGAATATCTCTCGGTTTCTAGGATTTGTACTGTGTTCGCAGTGACCTGGGGAACCTGCTCAAAGCCCTGGGTCGCTTGGAAGAAGCCAAGGTAGGTGTTTGATAGAACACATTTAAACATCAGTGTTATGAAAACTTGTACTTTTTGCCAAGTCTTCAACTCTTCATTGAGCTATCTCCAAAAAACAGTCCTATGAAACTGAGGAAAACTGTCGGCATGAATCACCTCAGACTAGAGCAGGGCCAGGCTTTGGCGTTTCTGTTCTAAATCTGGGGGTAAAGCAAGAACCTGAACATTTTGGAGCCTTTCTGCTGAGCTAGATCATCTTTATAACAATGGGCTCCGTCATGATCTTATGTGGGAATAAGTAACATTCCTTCAAATCTGAGGCTTGCCTGCTGGTGACAAGCAGAGCGCCTGTGATTTGGCTCAAGACTCCTATATGATGCAGGTGCCATTGAAAATGCTGCTCTTCTAAGTCCTTTGTGGCTTGTAAGTGGAGAAGAATTTCATCCAAATGTTACCCTGTAATACTGGCATTTAAAATTCTTATTTAACCTTCCTCCCTTCATCTTCCTTACCCTTTTTACAGTGGAAGAAAGGCTGTTAAAATGATTGCAAATTAATAATTGGAATGTCCTGCCCCCTCTTGTCCCCACTCCCTCCCTAAGTTCCTTTTTCCTCTTTTCCAACCCTAGTTGTCTACCTTCTTTTCTTCCTTACTTCCTTCTTTTATTCCTCCCCACCCTACCTCCTTAAAAAAAAGCAGAAGGACAAAGCTGGTTTGTTTGGGAAATGGACTGATCGAAAGAAAACTTGCCAAAGTGGAAAGGTGGCTTTTAGCATTCTGTGTTTCCAAATAATGAATTTGAACATCAGGTTGGGTTATTAAAGCTTTTGGTATAATTGTAAATTAAATTTCCAAATGAAATTGTCTTGTTACAAGCCACCTTACGCAACCGCGCTGCAGGGGTGAGGAGTGGGGAGAAACCAGAATGCTTCTGAAACTCCCACCTGTTGCTCTGAGCCCCACGCGCATGCTAATGCGTGGAGTGTATGCGCAGCGTAGCTGTCTGTTTGACTGCTTCATCAGGGAGGGAGAAGGCTTTTCAGCACCATCTAATGTTAAAAGGCACTAGTTTTAAGTGCATAGCTCATAAATTCTGCTGACACTTTGGATTAACCTTTATGTAGGTTTCCAGCTAATGAATTGTAATGGATTTCAATCTTAGTTGATAAATCTAATTGGTAATTTATAGAACAAATATTGAATAAGCTCCTATTAATTGTCACCCCACCAAGCGGACAGCTAACATGAATTGCACTTCACTGCAGCTTTAGAGATCGGTTTAGGCTGAGACATTGCGCCTGCCTTAGGTTGCTGACTTCTTTATTTCAGAGCTCTGGAGACACCTAGTTTGAAAAATGTTTATTCTGTTTTTGTGAGAACTTAGTGAACAAGAACATACTCTTGAGTGAAATGCAATGTATTTCTTTTGTAATCAGTGCATTTGAAAATTCAAGCCAGCATATTCCTACTAGATGGAAGCAAAATTAAGTTGTCTTTGTAGAAAACGAAGAGCCTTTCTTCCAGCAAAAATCCCTGCTGTATGCAATAGCCCTGATTAACCCTCTCCCTTCTGCATGTTTCCCATATTACAGACTTGAGACTGTCCTCATTCCCATATGTAATAGACATCCAAAGAATTTCAATTGCTTTGTTGAACTTTTACTAATGATCTTGTTTTTATTTTCTCTCTTGTTTTTGGTTTTTCACCATTGATATTGTATTTAGAAGGTTTCAGGTGGGTGAAACCTCCTATTCCATGCGTAAGGTGCCTCGCTGAAGGGAGCTCGAGGCCTGGATCTAGGGCAGACACACACCTCCTCCTCTTCCAGCAAGGAACGCACCGAAAAGTCACATGATGAGAAATATGGTAACGGGTTTGTAACTGCCACAGCAAAACAATTTGCCTCCATGCCTGAATCTTCTGTCTTGTGGCTTCAGAAACAGCTTAAAATAATTTTATTTACAAGCAAGTTATGTAAGAGAATGTTTTATACTATAGCCACAATTCTGTCAAAGATAAGTAAAAGTTAATTGATATTAAAAATTATTAGAGATAATTTACTAGTAAAAGCTTCTAACTCTTCTTGTTGTTCATTTTTTTCCTTTTTTCTTCTTTGTTTGGATTGCAGCATTCTGCTCTTCTGATGATGCGCTGTGACCCTGCAGTAGCGCAAAGGCTGCGCAGCGTTAACGCGCAATGCGTGCAAATGAGCCCCTGTGAACGGTTGACTAGATGAGTAATCTGATTGACTGGCTCCCTCAGTCCTATTGTGTAGCCTTTTTGGATAAAATTGGGTCTTAACATACCTCCAGTCCAACTAATCTCATTAAACAAATATTCTCTATGGGCCTGTCTAGTAGATTAATGGATCTGGTTGGCCGTTTGCTGCGTCTAGGGGTGTTCTCTGTAGCGCAGCAGTTCGCAGCGATTGCGCAATGCGATGCTGTTAGGTCGCGCAAGCGATGTTTGCGCTCGCATTACAGGGACCTCAACCTAGGTGCAATCCTGTCATATGAGGTTTCAGCTTCAGTCCCCCTTGGGAGACAGGGGCATTGCGAGAATGTAACTTAGAGCCTGACCTTCTCATACCTGACATGGCAGAAAAACCCTTTTCTCCTCAGTAATATAGTTTTGACGTTAGTGAGGAGCGTTGTTGTTTAGAGCAGCATTTCCCAAAATGTATTTTGTGGTATTCTAAAAATGTCTAATGAAAGAGTTCCATGGTCAACTAAGTTGAGGGAATCCTGTATAAACAAATGGACTTAGGGAAGTTCTGTAGCAAAGAAACTGGGTTTCTTTTCTCCTAATTTACTTGATCATGGAATCCTTTTTTTCAGTGATACCCGTTAACATTTTGTAGAACACACTTTGGGAAACTGGTGAAGGAGGTGGGGTGGGAAAACTTGGCTTTAAGTGGCACTCTCTAGATCAGACTTGAAAACCTAGCAAAAGCCCTTAGGTGTTCAGATAAGAGGAGTCCAACATAGAGTCTTAAGGCAACTGACTTCCCAGATGAGTCCCAGTATGAGGGTCGGTTGTTGGTTGGCAGAACTGAACATGGTGGTTTGCACTTGGGTTCTGGTGGCGCAGGCGCAGGAGCAGCCAGCTGTGGCAGCGCATTAGTTTTGGCGCAAGCGAGCCTATGCTGCAGGGTCACTTTTGGCTGGTCAGAGAAGGAATAATGATATCACCTTCTTCCCCCCACCCCAATCTTTTTTTTTTCCCCTTTACAAATTTTCCCTTTTCCCTTTACCTCCTTCCCCTCCCATCTTCTTTCATAAAACCCGCCCCCCCAAGGCAAGGTAATTGAAAACAAATGAAAACCAAACGAACTTTGCAGTAGCTTGGAGTAATCTTGGCTGTGTTTTCAA